AGTGGGGGCCACCGCGGCCTGGTGGGGGCTGACCCGCGAGCCCCGAGGTCCGCGCGCCTCATCCGCGCGTTTCGCGCGGCGCCCGAGGACGTTGCTCGTCACACCTCCTTCCAAGGCCGCTGCGAACGGAGGCGTTCCGGAGTCGCGAAGCCTACTCGAAGGACCTGACCCCGCCGAACTGCTCCTTATGGGCAGCTACCTGGGCAAGCCGGGCCCACCGCCCCCGCCCGCCCCCGACAGGCTAGGCCTGCGCCCCCCGCCGTCCGCTCGCTCTCCGCCGCCGGGCCCGCGCCTCCACCCTGTCCGCTCCCCGCTCTCCACGCAGCTCCTCGGGCCCTCCAGGAGGCCTTTCCAGCGGTAAGACGGGCCGATCAGCCCACCCGCCCCGGTAGGATCTGGCTGGGGGCTTGATTTTAACATCCGAAATTTTCTTGTGGGCCGCCTCCTACCCTCTGACTCTTGAGTGAGAAGTGTGGCCAGAGCGCTTCCCTTCTTGGCAGGTCCTGGAACTGCCTGAAAGTTAGAATGGTCTAGACAGTGGAGCGATTACTAAGACATGAAAATATCTTAAGATGGGAAAGGCCTTTTCTTCGAGTTCAGTCGTACAGTTAGTTTGGCCCTGTTTTTGCCTTTGGACAAGTTAAGGAAATTTTATCATCAGAACTCAAAGAGGCATCACAGGAAATAACTCCTTGAAAATTTTGTTGATAAAGTTGATCAAGTTACACATTTCTTTCCTTATACTGGAAATTGGATCCCCAAGTACTTCAGCATACTCCCGTCATGGGAACTAAACTTCTGATCCTTTAATTTTGTCCTTTGATTTCTGAGAGAAACTTGTGAATACCTTTGTCCAAATTGGCCTTGAACCTTAGTGATCGTCCTTTTTCTATTTTCTGAGTCTGGTATTATAGGTGTGCACCACCACTCTTGTCTTGAATTCTTAATAAATGTAGAGGATGAGCTTAAAAATCTTTGAGCTAGCTCAGTAATACTACTTAGGAGGCTGAGATCTGGAGAATATGATTTCGAAGCCAGCTTTGGTGGAAAAATTTGTAAGAGACTTATCAACAGATTAACCAGCAGAAAACCAGGATGGTGGTGTGGTTTAGGTGGTAGAGCCTCAGCAGAGCAAATAATCACAAGGTGGTGAGTTCAAACCCTTGTACTGGGGAGGGAAAAAAGCCAAAAATGCTAATGCTAGTCGTGGGCAGAAAAGCTGAGTAAGAGCATGAGGCCCTGAATTCAGTCCCAGCACAGGCACAAACAACAACAAAAAGTTTGGTTTTCTGTGCTGATGATTTACCAAAAACGGTTGCATGACTCTTCCAAGCTTCCTCCAAAACTGTTGGATTTAGTGTTCACTAAGTAATAAGCTGTCACTTATTCCTTACATGGAATAGGGAATATAGTCATAAAATTGCGGTCTGTGCTCTTTAGAAAGAGATTGAAACTATTTGGAAAATGTGTGAGTGAACTTCTGTGATTCTCTAGCCATTTAAATTTTCTAACGTTCTTTTCATTCTCTTTGGTTCCCTGGTTGGCTGTCCCATTCTCTGCAGGGACAGTGGGTCCTCATCCAACCGTTTTGTAATAACACCTCGCAGACGCTACCCAATCCAGCAGGCCCAGTACTCCTTGCTGGGAGTGCTGCCCACAGTGTGCTGGAATGGTTGTCATAAGAAGACTGTGCTCTCTGCACGGAACTCGAGGATGGTGTGCAGCCCAGTGACCGTGAGAATTGCCCCTCCCAACAGCAAACTGATGCGTTCTCCAGTGTGAGTATTGTTGGAGTATGCTCACCTTTGTATCCACTCTTTTCCTTTTTTTTGGGGGGGGGGGCAATCCTGGGGCTTGAACTCATGGCCTGGGCACTGTCCCTGAGTTTCTTTTGCTCAAGGCTAGTACTCTACCACTTGAGCCACAGCACCAATTCCAGTTTTTTCTGTTTATTGGTTCTGAGAAAGTGAAAACAGGACTTCATACATGCTAGGAAAGCACTCTGCCACTAAGCCACATTCCCAGCCCCCTCCACTCTTATTCCCAGCCATTCCTCTGACCAAACAGCTATAAGAAGGGTACTCTGAAGCTGAGACCTGGAGGACCACAGTTTGAAGCTGGGTTGAGCAGACTCCCATCTCTATCTGGTTAACTACAAAAATGCTGGATTGGAGGCATGGCTTAAGGGATAGAGTACCAGCTGTGCACAAAAACCAGTGAGAGTTTGAAACCCTGAGTTCCAGCCTCTGTAGCAGCATTAAAAAAAAAAAAAGAATCACAAAGAACCTATAAAAATTTTAAAAAGTGAGCTGGGCATCAGTGGATCATATCTATAATCCTAGCTACTCAGGAGACTGAGATCTGAGGATTGTGATTTGAAGCCAGCCCAGGCAGTAAAATCTATGAGATTTTTGTCTCCAATTAATTACCCACCAGAAAAGCTCAGGGACAGAGCACAGGCCCTGAGTTCAAAGCCCCACAACCAACCAACCAAAAAAAAAAAAAAGAAGTGGTTGATTATTTGAAAGTAAAATCTCAAATTCTAGTTCAAGTTAGCATTTTTGGTCTGTGCATTTTTTTTCATAGCTAATTAATGGCAGTTTCAGTGAATGGATAAATTTGCTTTTGGGTTTTTTGTTTTGTTTCAGTTCCAATTACTGAAGACTAAACTATTTGGTATGAGGTTGTTCAGAATCTCTTCCTGCTAGAATTTTGTCTTTCATTACAGACCAGAGCAGGTAGTGAACGCAGCACTGTCCTCACCAACCAGAAATGCCCCAGACCCATGTGCAAAGGAGACCGTCCTGAACGCCCTCAAAGAGAGGAAGAAAAGAGCTGTGGAGGAAGAAGACCAAATCTTTGCTGATGGACAGGAAAACAAGAGACGGTAATAAACCCAGTGGAACTGTAAACTGCAGCTGCAGTGTGTGACCTCACTTGGCCCCTTCTCAGGCTCATATGGAACAGCCCGGTAAGGGGCTGGTCCATGCCATCCAACTAGATACATTTTATAGTTTTCCATTAGTGGAGGCAAGCTGACAGCTCTAACTGTTTGTCTCCCTGTTTTAGCACAGAAACTTTAAATTATTTTTCAAGCCAGGTTGCTCAGTGTTCCCTACACAATTGTGAGTTAACTACCAATCAAAATGTCAATCTGAAGGAAATTCTTGTGAAAGGAAAGTGAATACTTTTCTCTTTATGGCAGGCTTCTCAGGGCTGGAGGAGAATCAGTGCCTCTCTGGGCTCCCATGGAGTTCTTTGGGAAGTGGAGTAACAGGTTCCTGAGAATGGAAGTGGGGGAGGGGCAGAGGAGGTAGTGGAGGCTCAGGACTATTTGTGGTTTCCAAAGAGTCATTTGAAGAGCCCACCTTGGGGCTGGGAAGGAGATTACTTGTCTTGCATGCATGAGGCCCTGGGTTCGATTCCTCAGGACCACATAAGCAGAAAAATCTGGAAGTGGCACTGTGGCTCAAATGGTAGAGCTGAGGGTCAGAGTTCAGGCGCCACAACCGACCAAAAAGAAAGAAGAAAAAAGTCCACTTTTACTCTGCCAGTGCTGGGACAAGCACTGCCACCAAGCCTCAGACAACCTGGCCTAACACTCTGTGCATGTGTCTGTGCATACGTGTGTGTGTGTGCACACACATATGAGTGTGGCAGTACAGTGGTTTGAACTCAGGTTTTATGCTTGCTTGTCTGGTGTTATACCACTTGAGCCATACCTCCAGCCCTGCTTTTTGTTATTTTTAGAGATGGAGTCTCTCAGACTTTGCTGCCAAGACTGGCTTCAAATGCAGTCCTCTATATCTCCCCTTCCTCAGTACCTAGTTTTACAGGTGTGAGTCACCAGCACCTCACTTCCACTTTACAGATACTCATCATCCCTGTGTACCCAGTTCCAAAGATGGCAGAATCCCCTATCTCTGAGAAATAGGATTTGTGTGTGTGTGTGTGTGTATTTTGATGCCGGTTCTGGGTCTTGAGCACTAAGGTCCTGGGCATTGCCCTTGAGCTTCATTTTCGTTCAATGCTAGTACTCTACCACTTGAGCCACATCTCTACTTCTGGCAGCAGTTTATTAGAGATAAAGAGTCACAGATTTTCCTGTCCAGGCTGGCTTCCCACCGTGATCTTCAGTTCTCAGCCTCCTGAGTAGCTAGGATTATATGTGTGAGCTACTGGTGCCCAGTGGCAGTTTTTTTAGTGGTAAAATAAAGTAACTGGGATAAGGAAAAGGTATTAGGGGTAATGGGCACAGCCTGTTTATAAAAAGGATCACGGCTGAGCACTATGAGGAGATGACCCACACCTGAAACACTACCAGTGCCCTATTTCCTCCACCAAGCTGTTCATTTCTGCTAGTGTCATGGTTGCCATCCTTGGTGCTACATGACAAAGCTGAGTTTGGGAAATGCTAAGTGGGCAAGTATCTGCATATGGGAGGCTCAACAAAAGTGACCACAGACAGCGTCTACAGTGTCATCCAGCCAAGCAGGAATGGTTGGGTGGGAAGAAGTAGAAGGCTGTAGGGTCAGGGAGGTGTGTGCTGATCTCAGAGGTCTACTGTGACAGGATGGGTACTCTTCCCTGAGGCTGGGATCAGCAGCAGTCATATGCCCTGTGTGGCTTGGCACTGTGACCTGTCACCCCCAGAGCATTGTGGGGAACAGGCTGGTTCTCTGAATAGTGTCGCGCTTTCTCAGGATCATAATATAGTTGGGTGTTCCAGTGAGATAGAAGTACTGAAGGTGCTCTGCCCTTCACTACCCAAAACAACCTTAGATTAGATTTGCCATTCAGAAGAGTGGATTTTTATTTTTGTTGGTCGTGGGGCTTGAACTCTGGGTCTGCATGCTCCTTTCAGCTCTTCAGCTCAAGATAGCACTCTACCACTTGAGCCACAGTGCCACTTCCAGTTTTTCTGGTTGTGAATTGGAGCTAAGAATCTCACATACTTTCCTACCGGGCTGGCTTTGAACCATGATCCTCAGATCTCAGCCTCCTGAGTAGCTAGGATTACAGGCGTGAGCCACTGGCGCCTGGCCAGAAGTGCAGATATTTGAAATGTAATTAAGGACAGAACCTATCCTTGGGCAGAGATCACACGAGGCCCCAGGAATACAAAAATGTGCTTTAATGGGAGAATTTTGGTTTTCTCACAGGCGCCATGATAGCAGTGGGAGTGGACATTCAGCATTTGAACCTCTTGTGGCCAATGGCATCCCAGCCTCTTTTGTTCCTAAGTAAGTGAGGGTGCTTCTTGGGGAAATAGTTGCCATGAACAAGTCTGAATATGGCTGTTTGCTTCTTGGGGAGACAGGGTCTCATCTCACTGTGTAGTTCGACTAGCCTGGAACCCAAGCTCCTGCCTCAGCTTCTCATTGCTGGCATTACATGTGTGTACCACGAAACAGCTTTATTTGGGCATAATTGGTGTAGAGGATATTATCTGTTTAAAGTTAACATGAATCCATCACAGGGTGATTAGTGCATCAATTGCCATTCATCATCCCCCATGCCAGCCCACCCCAGGAGCACACATACACACCACCCCCATCATAGTCCGTTGAGCATCTTCTAATGTTGCATTCATGGAATCACATTTCAGTTTTCAGTATTTGGCTTTCTCCATTTGGCTTGTGTCAGTTATATGTAGCCAAAAACTTATTGCAGATTTAGAGTATTATCTGTCATTTTCCCTTTGGCTTTAGTAAGAAAGGTGTTTGAACTCTGATGAAACTGTAAGAGAATGCTTCCTGTGATAATGTCTTGCCTGTTTTTCTTCCTTAGGCCTGGATCTCTGAAGAGAGGCCTCACTTCCCAGAGCACAGATGACCACTTAAATAAGCGGTCACGCACCTCTTCTGTGAGCTCCCTGACGAGCACATGCACAGGGGGCATCCTGAGCTCCAGCCGCAACGCCATCACCAGCTCTTACAGCTCTTCCCGAGGCGTGTCTCAGGTACACACCAGCAGCACAGGTTAGGGCTTCCCAGCATTAATTGTTGAGCAGGTGATTACCAACCACTTTTTGGCTGTCACTCCCACGTGGGAATGCCTCTAAGCTATAGGTACTGAGTTTTAACCTCAGTACTGTCCTCACACACAACAAGTCATGCGATTCTAGTTGTCCTTATAAATAGCTCTATGAATAGTAGGGACATACTAAAACTGTGTTCTAAAGTAACGTAACTGGGCACTTGTGGCTCAGGCCTGTAATCCTAGCTGCTTAAGAGGCTGAGACTTGAGGATCCCGGTTGGAAGTCAGCCAGAGCAACCAAATCTGAAAGACTTTTCATCCTGGGGTTTGAACTCAGGGCCTGGGCACTGCCTCTGAGTTTTATTGCTCAAGGCTAGCATTCTACCACCTAAGCCACAGCTCAACTTCTTGATTTTTTTCATGCTTAATTGGAGATAAGAGTCTTACAGACTTTTCTTGCCCAAGATGCTTTTGAATTGGGATCCAAAAATCTCAGCCTCCTGAGTTAGCTAGATTTACAGTTGTGAGCCACTGGTGTCTGCCACCAAGAAACTCCAATTCACCACATCAAAAGCTGAAAGTGGAGGTATAGCTCAAGTGATGAGTGCCAGCCTTCAGCCAAAAAACTAAAGGACAATGTCCAGGCCCTGAGTTCAAGTACTAGGACTTCTTTTGGTGGTTAGTTAGAAATAAAAGACTGGCCAGGCATGGTGGCTCATGCCTATAATCCTAGCAAAAGATAATCTATGCAAATGAGCAATAAAACATACACAGATACTTCTTCAAAGAAAATAACAGTACTGGGCGGTGAGATCTGAGGATCACAGTTTAAAGCCAGCCTAGGCAGCAAAGTCTTTTTTTTTTTTGTCAGTCATGGGGCTTGAACTCTGGGCCTGGGCACTGTCCCTCAGCTCTTCAGCTCAAGGTGAGTGTTCTACCACTTGAGCCACAGTGCCATTTCTGGTTTTCTGAGTGGTTTATTGGAGATGAGAGTCTCATGGCCTTTCCTTCCTGAGTGGGCTTGGAAGCATGATCCCCAGATCTCAGCCTCCTAAGTAGCTAGGGTTATAGGCATGAGCCACCGGCGCCTGGCCAGTCTTTTATTTCTAACTAACCACCAAAAGAAGCTGGAAGTGGAGGTCTGTGACACAAGTGGTAGGGCACTAACCTTGAGGAAAAGAAACTCAGACTGCACCTTCAAGCCACAGGAACAGGCCCCACACATACACACACAGGTAAAACAATAACCAATAAGCATATCGATAGTACTCAGGAATGCAAATTAAAGCAAGCGCGTGCGTGCGTGTGTGTGTGTGTGTGTGTGTGTGCGCGCGCATGCACACCTGAGCTCTGGGCCTGGGCATTGTCCTTCACCTCTTCAGCTCAAGGCTAATGCTCTACCACTTGAGCCATAGCGCCACTTTCTTTTTTCTATCGATGTGGTGCTGAGGAATTGAACCCAGGGCCTCATGCATGCAAGGCAAGCACTAGTACCACTGAGCCACCTTCTCAGCCCCATGTTTTGTATTTTGTTTTGTGGGGTTTTTTTGTTTGTTTTTTGTTTTGCTAATTCTGGGGCTTGAATTTAGGTCCTGGACACTGTCCCTGAGGATCTCTGTGCTCAAGGCTAGTGCTCTACCATTTGAGCAAACTTCTGGCTTTTTCTGTTTATGTGGTACATTATCAGCCTTCTTCATATGGTTTCAATGAAAGCCTTCAGTCAGTTGACCTGAGTTCTCAGTGCTTTACCACTTTGCTGCGATAGTGTATGTAGTTGTGCTATTCAGGAAATCTCAACCTACCTAAAATTATGAGGATTTTCTCCTATGCTGTCTTTTAGAAGCTTTATTGTTTTTTGCTCTATAGTTAACGCTGCCTGAACCTCATCTTTGTATGAGGTGTGGTATAGAGAGCAAATTCTGCCCCTTTCCCCATAATATCCATTCCTTTCAGCGACCTTTATTGATAGGATTGTCCTTTCCCAGTGCTGTGGGGTTAGGCTAGGATTACAGGCCTGAGTCCCCAGCACCCAGCAGTTACATGGTTTTGTTGTTGTTGTTGTTTTGTTTTGTTTGTTTTTTTGGGGGGAGGTCCTGTTGTGGGGCCTGAACTCTGGGCCTGGGTGCTGTCCCTCAGCTCTTCAGCTCAAGGCTAGCGCTCTACCATTTGAGCCACAGCACCACTTCTGGCTTTTTTCTTTTTGCTTATGTGGTGCTGAGGGATCGAACCCAGGGCCTCAGGCATGCAAGGCAAGCGCTCTACCACTGAGCCACCTTCCCAGCCCTAGTTACATGTTTTTTATACTATTATAGATCATACCTTTAAGATGTGATTGTCTTGCTGGTATGTGGAAATACAGAAACATTTGTATTCTGAAAATTAACTAAATTCCAGATGCTCTGCTGTATATGCTTTAGGATTTTTGTACATATAACCATATTTAATAAGTTCAGTCATGTTGCTTTGTTTTTCTTTCAGCTGTGGAAGAGGAGTGGTCCCACGTCATCCCCCTTTTCCAGCCCAGCCTCCTCACGCTCCCAGACCCCCGAAAGGCCGGCTAAGAAAACAAGGTATTCCCCATTCTCCAGCCCCCTTATGCTGTGTGCAGGGGGTAGAACTTAAATCCCACTGGACTGCTCTGGTCTTGGAGTCCCACTGGCCTGGTAGTTTAGTCACTGGAGCTCCCGTCAGGGATAGATGTGTCTAGGACACCCCCCCAGTGCCGCCTTCCCCCCCCCCCACTATTGGCAGGCTGTGGGTTTGAAGGTGACTGTTTTGTGGTTTCTCATGCCCTCCATGAATTATTAGGGTCTTCTTGTGACCTTCAATGCCCCAGCCTACTGAGATCTTGTGGTGTCCTACATTTTAGCTATTTGATGGTTAGGGGGGAGTTAAGGTAATCATTGCATACATAAAAGTTCTTTCTCTAGCTGGGTGGCTTATCCTGTAATCCTAACTACTCAGGAGGCTGAGATCTGAGATTGTGCTTCAGAGCTAACCTGGGCAGGAAAGTTCATGAGACTCTAATCTCTAATGAACTTCTAGGAAACTGGAAGTGGCTCAACGTGGTAGAGTGCTGGTCTTTAACAGAAAAGCTTAGGGACAGTGCCCAGGCCCAGAGTTCAAGCCCCACGACTGACCAAAAAAAAAAAAAGGTGCTTTCTCAATTAAATTTTGCCCTTTCAAATTTCCTACAGAGAAGACGTGCCGTGTCATCACTCCAGCTCCTCACCTCCACTCGTGACAGACACAGAGTCGCAGGGAGAAAGGGGTGAGCAGACAGCTGCAGTGGGAGCCACGTTGATAGAAACTGTAGATACATGGGGCTGAGTGCACAGGGTTGAGTGATGCTCTGTCTGGGATGTGGTGGATACGAGACAGTGGTGTGCCAAGGGTGTGGTAACAGGCACATCGGTGTGACCTCTGTGTGACTGCTGGAGCCACGCAGCTGTGCTCACACACTAGAGGTGTGCACATGCGCTTTGAGCACTGCTCTTCATACAGAAGAGTGTGTCAGGGTGGTACGGCGTTGGCTCTGGGTGTTCCTTCAGGAGAAGGGGTGCCAGCCCACGCTTTGTTCAGTTGCAGATGTGGCCACACGGACGAAGCAGGGCCCCAGTCCCTCCCCCGCCACACCAAACACCTCTGGGAAGCGGAAAAGGAAGACGCCGCTGCTGCCTTCCAGGCGGGGGGACCAGCTGACCTTGGTATGTCTGCGGGACCCCACTTTCCTTGCCACAGGAAGGCTGAACTCTAGGCTTGGCTCTGTTCAGTGGTCTGACCTCTGCTCCACTCTCCCACAGCCTCCACCGCCTCAGCTTGGCTATTCCATCACTGCTGAGGACCTGGACATGGAGAAGAAGGCATCGCTGCAGTGGTTTAACAAGGCCCTGGAGGATGCAACCGGTAAGGCCTGCAGGTTTGCAGAGGGCCGCCTTGTTCAGCCTTGGATGTTATTTTGGCATTTGTGTCCTTTAAGGCCTAATGTGGAGAGTTCCTCCCTCATGGGTGGCTCTATACTGCCTAACCCCAGGAGCATGGGAGGAAGCAATCAAGGTGAGCATGCCCGGCTACCATGGCGTCTTGTGTTTCCTCCTTAGATAACTCCTCCACCTCTGTCACCGAGACCCCACCAGCATCAGCCCAGCCCTCCTTTACTTTCTCCCTGCCTGCTGTGGCACCAGCTTCTTCAGCAGCCTCCCCTTCAGCCTCCCTCCTGGCCTCTCCCCTGGCCTCCCTCCCAGCCCCCTCTGCTAACCCACTGTTGGAGAGCTTGAAGAAGATGCAGGGCCCCCCAGTGCTGCCAGCCTTCCCAGGTGAGTGCAGGCCCTCTGCCTAAATGGATGTGGGACAGCTTCTTCAGGCTCCCCAAGTTCCCTAGCCCAGAGGCCAGGTGTCGCCTTTCCCGGAGCCCCATCATGGCCCCATCCCGGCTGCCATCATGGCCCCATGGTGGTCAGTGTGAATGAGACAGCACCTAGCTGTGCTGCTGTGCTTGGTGGTGGGAGGGAGGGTTGGAGGGCAGCAGAGTGGACAGCCCCTTGAGCTCGCCAGGCGGGGCGAGTGTTCACTCAGCAGTCCTGCATCTGTGCACTCCTCCATCCTCAATGCTCAAGGCAGTGTCCACACCAGGCCGTGTAGGGTGCAGACATGAACACCTTGAGCTGTTGTGTGGGCCACATGTCTTGGCTTTGGGTCCCTAGCATGGTGGGCACCGGAGGACACAAGTTGGGGACTGTCCTGTGGATGTCCACAGACCTCACCTTCCTCTCACCTTCCAGAGTCTGTGAGGCCAGCGGCCTCTTCCGCCCCTTCACCTCCCAAGACGGCCAGCCCTGGCCCCACACCGCCTGCAGCCACCTTTCCTGAACTGGCCCCGGCCAAGGACACCAAGTCACCTCTCGCCTCTGTCCCTGAGCTGCCAGTCACCACCCAAGGCGCCCCTGCCCCATCTCCTACCCCCAAGTCCAGTGTGTTGGGTGGGGTGCCCAGCAGCTCACTTCCTAGCCCTGTTGCTGCATCCTCCTCCACCTCCATCTCCTCTTCTTCCTTCACCACCATGGCTGCCACCACAGCCACTGCCGCCACCGCCACTGCCACCGTTGCCGCCACCACTGCCGCCGCCATGGCTGCTCCAGCGCCAGCCACTGTAGCTTCTCCTATGTTCAAGCCCATTTTTCTGGCCACTCCTAAAAGTGAGGGCACTGGCCCCTCACCACCTGTGCTCTCTGATGACAGCACGGCTGCTCAGGCTTTCAAGCCGATTTTTGGTAGCATGGGGCTGCCAGCCTCCGTGTCCTCAGCCCCCCCATTCTTGAAACCGACCACAACTACAACCACGACCACAGCGGCCACCGCCCCTGCCTTTGCCAGCCTGCCTACGGCTACCACCACCTCCAGCACCACCAGCTCATCTGTAGACTCTGTCGCAAAGCCAGTGTTTGGCTTCGTCACACCCAGTGCAGCCAGCACCACGGGCACCGAGCCTGGCACCTGTAGCTCACAGCCGTTTCTCTTTGGGGCAACCCCCGCCTCTGCCAGCAGCTTCCCCACACCTGGGGGCCCCGTGTTCCAGTTTGGCAAGGCTCCAACCCCACTGACCCCAGCACCCAACACCTTCGGGCAGCTGCCATCCAATGCCACAGCTCTCCCGGCCAACAGCAGTGGCTCCACTGGCTTCAGCGGCTTCGGCAGCGGACTCACCACCTCAGCCACAGCCACAGCCACCACTAGCCAGCCCAGCCTCACCTTCAGCACCACCACCCCCGCCTTCAACATTCCCTTTGGTTCTGGCACCAAGGCGGCACTCCCACCATACCCAGGCGCTAGTACCCAGCCGGCATTTGGGGCCACTGAGGGGCAGCCTCCAGGGACCACCAAGCCTGCCCTTGCCCCTAGCTTCGGCAGCACCTTCACCTTTGGGACCTCTGCGGCCCCAGCAGCAGTGCCAGCACCCACCCCTGCACCGGCCCCTGCAGCCTTTGGGACTTCTGTGCTCCCAGCTTTTGGTGCTCTGAAAGGCACAGCGTCCGCCTTTGGCGCCCCAGCCAGCACACAGCCCGCCTTCGGCAGCACCACCACCGTTTTCTCCTTTGGGACAGCCACCACCCAGACCACCAGCACTGGGACCACCAGCTCTGTGTTTGGCAGCTCCACCCCGGCCCCGTTCACCTTTGGGAGCTCCGGCACCCCAGCTGGCAGTGGGGGCTTTGGGATCGGTGTGGCAACCCCAAGCTCCAGCTCTGGAGCCTTTGCTTTTGGAGCTGGACAGGGTGGGACCACGGGCACATCCACCGCCTTCGGTGGTGGCTTGAGTCAGAACACCCTGGGCACGGCTGGCCAGAACACATCCTTCGTTTTCAACGTGGCAGGCACACCTGAGAGCAAGCCTGTGTTTGGAGGTAAGCTTAGGAGCACATAACTGCTGGGCCCAGCACTATGTCAAGTGCTTGTGCTGAGATGTGAGGATCATGGTTTGAAGCCAGCCATCCATGAGACTTATTTCCAGTTAACCACTAAAAATGCCGGCAGTGGAACTGCAGCTCAGATAGCAGGGTGCTAGGCTTATTGCAAAAAAGCTTAGGGACAGCACCCAGCCCCTGAGTTCAAGCCTCAGAACTGGCACCAAAAAAAAAATTGAAGTCAACTAGAAACATGTAATGAGGAAGGAACAACTGTGGTTTCCATGTGGAGCCTGAGGGTGCTTGTTCTTTTGATCTATTTGTTTTTTACTATGTTGCTCAGGCTTAGTTTGAAACTGAGCCTTCTGCTTCATTTCCTCTAGTACTGGGATTGTGAGTGTGTGCCACCTGGCTCAGAGCAGATGCGTGGCCAGCTGGTAGAGGGAGGCACGAAAGTGCACCTACGCAGGCAAGAGTGTCAGGAGGTTGAGGGCCTTGAGGCAGGCAGAAGAGAAGAATGTTCCTGGAGGAAAAAAAACACTAGGATGTCAGACAGAGGAATAATCTTTTTTTTTGGGGGGGGGGTCCGGTCGTGGGGCCTGAACTCTGGGCCTGGGCGCTGTCCCTCAGCTCTTCAGCTCAAGGCTAGCGCTCTACCACTTGAGCCACAGTGCCACTTCCGGCTTTTTTCTTTTAGCTTATGTGGTGCTGAGGAATGGACCCCAGGGCCTCATGCATGCAAGGCAAGCACTCTACCACTGAGCCACCTTCCCAGCCCCAAGAGGAATAATCTTGTTCTGAGAGCTTCCTCATTGAATAGGGCTGAAGTTCCTGGGGTGTATAAGGGTGGCATGGGGCAAGGAGGGCCATTTATGTTGAGCTCTGCCCAATGAGGAGGAACCGAATGGGAGAAGAGAATGTGTAGACTTGCCGGCTAGAGAACTGATGGTGAATTTCAAGTGTGGCCAGTTGGATTGTGTTTTCCTTGCATCCAGGGGTTGAGATGGCCCTTGAAATCAGGCACTGAACCCCAACTGTGGAGTCTCATGGCAGAAAGGAGGAGCTATGGGAAGAGGTCCAAAGCGAAAGTAGGGCCTGCAGCCCTTATGGGAGCTGGGACAGGGCCTGATGTCACAGGAGTGAAGAAAGGAATGCATTGAGGGCAAGAAGAGAGGTGGTTGTGGCTCTGAGGGGTTCATCAGCCATCCACTGATAAAAGAGATGAGGATGGCAAAGGGAAGTAGCCCAGGGGCTCTCAGCAAAGATCCACCACCACAACTAACACTGATCTGAACTTGTGCTGGATTGCAACAATGGTGCCTTTCTGTAATCCTAGCACTCAAAGACTGAGCCCCACCTGGCCACAAAGCAAGATTCTGTCTCAGAAAAATACAAAATTGTTAGGTGTTTAAAGGAGGCAGAAGAGAAATAGTTTGGAAGCCATGTAAGGAAGCAGCCTTGGCTGGCAGGTGAGCCCCTAGCTCTCCCCAGAGCAGCTCAGGGTACCTCAGAAAGGCTGCTGTGTGGAAAGGCCCAGCTTCTGGAAAGCCAGGGCCAGAGACCAAGGCTAGAAGGCAACAAGCTGGGTCCTGATGGCAGGCAGGTCTCTTGATCAGGCCCCCCAGGGCTTCAGTATCAAGGGACACAGTGGGTGCCCAAGCTCCAGGCATTAGGACTGACAGGCTGAGAGCACAGCTGCTACTCAGTTTCTCTGCTGCATACCTCTATCCTCATTGTTGGGTTCCTTTGTTCTAGGCACCTCTACCCCCACCTTTGGCCAGAGCACCCTTGCTCCTGGAGTGGGCTCAGCAGGCAGCAGCCTCTCCTTTGGGACCTCCTCAACACCCACCCAAGGCTTCACCGGAGTTGGGCCTTTTGGTAAGCAGCTCCCCTCTGACCAGCAAGGAGAAGGGGTAGAATGGCAGGCTACTGGCACTCTGGGCCCTGTGAAGGTCAGGTTCATGGGGTTCAGCCTGTGAGTGGGGCTCTGGTTTGGAGTTTGCATAGACTTAGGGAAGCAGGTGAAAGGTTTCCCTTCCTGCCTTGGCTGACTGTCCAGAGCTGAGCACCAGCCGTGGGCCTGGTAAGATCTTGTTGCATCTTTACAGGATCGGCGACACCTTCATTTTCCATCGGTGCGGGATCCAAGACTCCAGGGGCTCGACAGCGACTGCAGGCCCGAAGGCAGCATACTCGCAAGAAGTAGCCCAGCCCTGCCCCGGGACCCCACCCCTACCTACATCTGGACCTCAGCACTTGCTAGGAAGAGCCTCAGAATTCCATAAAGCAAACCCAGCCTGGATCTCTGGCTCCAGCAGCCAGGGAGGAGCCCAAGAGGAGGCTGGCACTGCTGGAGGAGGCGGCAGGGCACTAGCCCAGTACCTTAACCTGAACAGTCCAACAGGTGAGGCTGGTAAACTAAAGGACATGTACATACCGTGCGGTCCCTTCCCTGACTATGACACCGTGTGGTCAGGCAGCTCCCACCCCACTGCTGTGGAATGGGGACAAGGATGACCCCTGGACTTCCCATGTCTTGCTGCTTGGTCCTCCCCGGTTCCCCAAGCCGGGGGTTGGGGGGGGAAATCCATGAGTCTGGCTTTGCTGCCTCCTGTCCCACCCCCTTGTTTCATCTCTAGTCTCTGCCAGTTTGGCTTCCTAAAAGCTTGGTGGCTCAAGACTGTTAAGCCTGTTAGAGCCAGGGGCGAGCCCTGCTCTGGGAGAGCAGCTCCTGGGTAGGCAGGACACCCATCACTACTCCCAGCCCCCCTCCCCCCCACGTCTGCCTCTCTGGGATTGTTTGTTCAAGCTTTGTCTTGTGTTAGTCTGATGCTTGTGTGTTGCTCTTTGAATCGAGTTTGGAGGAAGAACTGAGTTGTATGTATGGCGGCATTTTGGTAGTGCCGGAATTAACTGTCTCCAGCCCCCAGGGCTTACTGAATGTGGAAAGTGGTGCCCTTGATGCCTACAGTGCTGACTTCGTGAATTTCCAATGGGGTTTTCACTTGGGCTGGCAGCTGGGCTTGGGGCCCGGGAAGTGAAGACTTCGGTTGCTCCTCTCCTTCCCCAGCCTCCTTCCTTCCCTGAAGAGGTCTGTGGGCCCTGCCCAAACCCCTTCCCCCACCCCCACAGCCTTGCTGCCCTGCCAACCTCTTTGCAAGAAGTATGAATGCGTGTGTCTAAATTAAAAGAAAAAAAAATATTTAAACATTTTTTTAACAAGATAAATTTATTTTTGTATTTAAGCTAAATTGCCTTTTAAATTCCTTCAAGCTTGGTTCACTGAGGTGGTTCAGTATAAATGCTGTCTAGCCGTGTAGTTGGTGTAGTTCTTCTGCCTGGGTGGAGGGCCCAAGCACCTCTGGACACATGGAGATGTAGTTGTGTCATAGACGATGTGCTGTAGCTGTGACAGTCCCCTCCCCTGGTGACCAGGGTTGAATGTTGTATGAAGGCACTGCCCATCTGTGTCCCTCTATCCCATTAGCTGGCAGCTGACTGCTTAGGCTTGGCCACATGCAACTGAGGAAGGAGCCTGGCCCTCAAGGGCCCAACATCTGTTGGGGAGCGGTTATGAGCTAGACCTGAGGCTCCCCTGCACCTCAGGTCAAGACAGGCTCTTGGGTTCTGGCATTGCCCAGGTATACACACATTGGTCCTGCCAGCACCAAACTAGAGGTGGCTGGGGCTTTCCACTAGAACTCATTCCTGCCAAGTGGGGTTTTTAGTATGAATGTGAGATTTTTCTCCTTGCTATGTCATTAAGAATAAAAACTGTGATCTGTCGTAGACACTGTCCTGACTCTTACTTGTGCCAGAAGCATGACTCCTGGGACAGACATTGTGCAGCCATTGGGGTGGGACTTGGAGCCCCCAGTGCCACAGGGAGGCCTGGCCATAGAGAGGCATTGCCCCACACCTCTATGAGCATGGCAGTAGATTGAGGCCAGGGCCGGAGGCTGCTTTCCGCCGCTTCTTCCTTCTTGCAGCTGAGCTAGGAGTGAGTTGTGCCAGTGCTTCATCCTGTGGAGCTGAGCTGAAAGAACCACCAGGTCAGGCATGCCCAAGCAACCAGCCCCTCCAGGCAGTCCCCAGACCCCTCACCTTGCCACCTCTGCCCGTTCAATGACGGCAATGAAGAAGCCGCCAGTAAGTGTGGTCTCTGGGGAAGCCCGGAGGCAGTGCTCAGCCCCTGGAAACGTATTGAGGCCTCGGTGGGGCCAGGAGGGTAGGGTGGGAGCCAGCCTGCAAGGAAAGCCAGCTCAGATCTAGGAAGGGGGCACCAGGACAGTGGGACCCCCATGGCCCAGGAGGGTGGGGGGGAACCATCACCTGAAGGCCCCTGAGCTCTCCTGCAGGGCTTCTTGGATTACATCTTCATTCTCCTCTTGGCAGAGGGAGCAGGTAGAATAGACGAGGCGCTGCAAGGCAGGGAACTTTAGTGCGTGGCGCAGGGCGCGCAGCTGGAAGCCCGCTAGGGCGCGCAGGCGCTCTTCGCTGGGTGCCACCGCTGGGTCCTCTAGCTGCCGGCTCAACATCCCTACCAGGAGAATCCTCAATGAAGCCTTCAGGCTGTAGTGGCCCTTGGACTTTCCCACAGAGGCAGGCCAGCAGCCTTGGCTGTCAACCCTCACCTGAGCCACTGCAGGAAGGGTCCAGCAAGATGTACTGGACCTGTGCATACCGTGGGTCAGAAGGGGACACCGCCAGGAAGTCACCCTCTGCTAACTCACAACAGGAGACTCCAGCCCGAGCCAGCAGCGTAGCCATGGTTGCTAGGCGCTTGGCATCCAGATCAAAGGCGAAGATCTTCCTAGGGAAGAGGAGGTTTGGGTGAAGTTGCAGTTCTGACCCCACCATCGGTGTCATCAAGTCACAGAAATAGCATTCAGGTGGCCTCTCAGGACCCATGTCACACACACACTGACCTGGAGATCTAAGGACCCCTGAGTACCTCCCTTGAAGAATTCTATCTCTTCCTGCAACTTCCAGGCCCAGGCCCACCCCTGCTCTGCGTCTTGACCCCAGCTCACCCCTGGTTTTTCAGGAGAGCTGCTAAGTGACTTGTCTTGTTGCCAGGGGCAGCACAGGCATCCATGACTTGAGAGCCTGGAGGTGGAGCCAGCAGCATGGCTGGGAGGCAGCTGGCCTGGGGGACAGAGCACCATGTTCTTGAACAGAGTGAGCCTGCCCACCCAGCAGTACCCCCCTCTCCCCCATTCCCTCTAGTGACCCCTGACCTTATCCTGCAGGAGGAGGTGTCCAGCAAGGTACAGCGGGTGATCATGTAAGTCTGTCTGGGCGGGAAACACAAGCAGCTCAGGCAACAAAGGATCCAGAAGAAAGTGCTTTCCCTCAAGGGCCCTTAAGTCCTCCAGGCTGTGGGAAAGAACTGTCAACATTTCTGATCTCGGTGCTGATGGATCCCATAATGGATCCAATGAGTATCTGCAAGAGCCATAACAAAGGATGTAGTGTAGAAACACTCTTGCCTAGCATGCACAGGCTCGGGTCTGAGGTCCAGCAGGTCACAGGCAGAGAAGCTCTCAAGACTCCATCTCCAAATGACTACCAAAAAGTCCAGCTAAAGGCATGGCTCAAGAGGTAGACTACCACATATTCACATGTAAGCAAGCTAAGTGAGTGAAGTTCCTGAGTTTGTAGCCTGGCATCAGTGAAAAAAGGGGGGAGGGGGACGGCCAAACCCAATCAGTAAAGTCTGGGTTTTAAGTTGTACAATTGGGCATCAAATCCTACCTCCACTATTTACCAAGAGTGCAAGCAAGGGACTTAACACTGGGCCTTGGTGTTCACCTCTATATAATGGCAGATATGAAGATGAAACAAGTTAATACTCAAAACACTTGGTAAGTCTAAGCCATCACTATTAATGCTTTCTGGAAGAACTGAGCTTCCAGAGTATGGGGGGGGGGGGTGGAGGTGGAGAGAGAAAACATAAAACACTCAGATTACAGCTGCAAGGAGCACTGTCCACTCAAGCAACATGAACCACAGAGAGGCTGACATCCAGATCCATATAAGAGCTGATCTTGTCTTCCATTTTTTCTCCAAGCAACATTCCACAGTCAGAGTAACATCTATGCTAAGACAGAGGCAAGGGAAAGATGCAGCTGCAGAAGCAACTTCCTAGAATTTGTCAAGACAAATCAGCCAGAGATGCCAGTGGCTGAAAGGTGTTAATCCTAGCTACTCAGAAGGCTGAGATCTGAGCACTGCAGTTCAAAGCCAGCCTGGGCAGGCAACTCCAGGAGATGCTTATCTCCAATCTCAGAAAAAGCCATAAGTGGCCCTGTGGCTCAAGAGGTAGAGCATTAGCCTTCAGCAAAAGCAGCACAGGGACGGCACTCAGGCCCTTAGTACAAGTTCTAGAATAGCACAAAAAAAATCAGGAACCATGTAGTTCCAGCACTCAAAGGCTGACAGAGGATTGCCAAGTTCCAAGCAATGGGCCTCATGGTGAGCTTGTGTCCAGCCGGAGCTAGTGAGATCCTCTATCTCAACAAGACAAAAAGCAAGGTGGAACAAGTCCCAGATGCGTGGTGCCTTTTAAAGAGGTGGGGAGGGCTGGGAAGGTGGCTCAGTGGTAGAATGCTTGCCTTGCATACATGAGACCCTGGGTTCGGTTCCTCAGGCACCACATAAGCAGAAAATGCCAGAAGTGGCCCTGTGGCTCAAGTGGTAGAGTGCTAGTCTTGAGCTGAAGAGCTCAGGGACTGTGCCCAGGCCCAGAGTTCAGGCCTCATGACTGACCAAAAAAAAAAAAAGGTGGGGAAAGATGGGAGAGTGCCAGAAATGCAGGAAGAAAACCCAGAGAGCGATCTGTCAGCCAGCGTGACCCAGGGATCCCTGCCTCACCAGTGCCCCGGACATCTCCCAAGCCAAGCAAAAGCAGGCAGGATGCTGAGCTCTCACCTGGAAGCCCGGCCCTGGTAGGAGAAACCTTTTCTCTTGAAATAATCTACTGCATCGTCAGTGCAGGTCTTGAGTGTGTTCACCCGCACGTACCGTGGCACCTTGGGAGCTAAGGAGCAACAGCATTTAGGGGGCACGGGTCCTAGATGATGGGCATTGCCAACCCCCTCAATTCCCTCGGCTCACCTAAGCCAGGCTTGGACTCTGCTTCCAAAAGGTCCTCATTGCGGCTCACATGCCGCTGAACCTTGAGCCGGGCTAATTCAGCCTTGAGCCTAGCCTGGTGCCGGTCCATCAGGGCCTTCCATCGGCCCCCACCGCCTCGGAAGCCCTTCCCCAGCAGCAACTCGTACACCAACACCTGAAGCATTAACGACATGGGCTCAATAAAGAACAGGGCGAACGGTGGTTCTTGCCTGTCATCCCAGCTAATTAGGAGGCTGAGATCTGAGCATCGCGGTTCGTAGCCCAAGTCTGTGTGAGGCTCTTTTCTCCAACCACCAAAAAGCTAGAAGTGAAGCTGTGGCTCAAGTGGTAGACTAGCTAGCCTCGAGCAAAAAGAAAAAAGGCTCAGCGCTGAGTTCAAGCCCTTTCCCCCCATACCGCAAAAAAAGCCAATACGGAGAATCGGATCTGGGAGCACGGACCAGACAGAGCAGACCGCCAGCGGCTGCAGGTGAGGCCCGCCCCCTGCCCCCCCCCCCGCTCCCCGCTCACCTTGGCCAGGTGCGGCCGCAGCTTCTTCTCGGCGCGGAGCAGGCCTGCGCGGGCGATCACGGCGTCCAGCACAGCAGCGAAGCGCTGCGTCTCGCACACCAGCGCGTACAGCGGCTTCACATTCTGCGAGGCCGAGGGGAGACGCGCGACGTGGGCGGCAGGCCCCCAGCGTGGCACCGGCGCGCCATCGCCCCCGGGACCAACCCCCGCTCCCCGCCTGCGCCCTCCGCGCCCTCCGGGACCCTCGCCAGCCCCGATCCTCCGCCCGCTACCTGGAAGCCGCTGGAGTACACCAGCGCCCGGACAGAGCCCCGGCGCTCCTCCACGCCCGCCAGCACAGAGGCGGCCGCCGCGTACAGCGCCATGCTCCGTGCGCCTTTACGGCTCTGTCGCGAAACCGGCTTTGTGCCCTCCCGCACTTCCGGGGTCAGAGGGCGCGCGTTACGTCGGGACCGGGCCGCCGTCAGCCAACTAGCGTATACAACAAAATCGGCTCCGGTCCGCGGGTTCGAGTCCAGCGCGGCTGCCCCGTGAGCCATTCCCCTCAGCTAAACAGCACACGTCCTGGCGCGGCGGCTCCTCACTGCAGTCCTCGCTGCTCGGAAGGTGAGGGAAGATCACGTTCATGGCCTGCCCCCGCGAGGAAATTAGATCCCATCGCCACCAGCACTCTTGCCATCCCAGCCACAAGCCGGGCGTGAATAGCAGGGTTAGCAAAATAAAGCAAAAAGCACGGGAGCGTGGCTCGGGAGGTAGAGCACCCTCTTGCAAACCCATGTACTAAAAAGAAAACATGTCACCCTCCGCTGAGAAAGATTGTGTGGCTTTTGGTGCCGACACCAGTTACAGACAGGTTAGGGGTCCCGTGCCCGGTTCTGCTCAATTAGAAGTAGCACTCGGTCCTCAGGTCCAGCTCACCTGGAGGAATCCGAGAACTCTAGTGGGGGTGCCATGGTGGGGGTGACAGGGTGAGAGAGATCGGATTCCATCACAGACCAGAGCCGCTTTTAAAGACTTAATTAAGCATGGGGGCCAGGTGTGGAGGTGCGCATCTGTAATCCCAGCTAGATGGAAAGTCAAGGTAGAGGACTGAAGCCTGAGGCCAACTAGGCAAAAGCATGAGACCCTTCAAACGAAAGCCAAAAGGGAAAAGGGGATGTAGCTCAAGTAGTGGAGCCTTAAGTTCAAACTGCAGTGCCACCAAAAAAGTAAAAAATACTTAAGTACAGGGCTGGAGATGTGGCTCCTGTAAACAGTTTACCTAGCCTGTGCAAGGCCTATGGGCTCCACCCTCAGCCTGCGCGTGCACACACACACACACACACACACACACACACACACACAGACTCCAACACTACAATATTAAATAGCAAATTCATCTAGCAACTGTCATTTAAGCAAAAGAGAAAGAATCAATGTCAAGTTTATTTTCCTACAGAGTTGACAAGGAAGAAGGACAAGATGGGAACAGTTTTGGGCTCTGCTGGAAGCTGGAGTGCACAGGGCACAGTCGGAAGGGCCAGGCCTCAAGGAAACTGTGGCCAGTGGAGGAGGAGCTCCTTCTGTCATACGTGACACCGTGGGTCCCAGCAGTACCGAAGTCCCAGTGCTTGGCACCACCAGGCAGCCTATAGCTTGGTGGGCTGTGGGGAAGGGAGGTGGCCAGGCCCAGTAGGTGGGGGCAGCACCAAGGGCAGTGAGTTGCTGCCCCTCTCATGCCAACACATGTCCAGGATGGGGTAGAGCTTGCCCTGGAAGTCAGCCTGGAAGGTGTAGAGTGGCCGCAGGTCATCAGGGCGGTCGGCGTTGAAGAAGGTGAGCTCACCTTGCTCGTAATGCAGGTAGACTCCGATGCGGTGCGGGTGGCCTGCCACAGGCAGCGGCACTCTGGGGCAGCCAAAGGCCTCGTACACACGGCCTTCCTTCAAGCCAATCAGCCACACACCGTGCTCTGGGGACTTGCTCAGCTTGCCCTTGCGGCTGGCCGTGCCCTTAATGATGCCCAGACGCCAGTCACTCTTGCTGCCCACCGTCACCTCCCAGTAGTGGCGGCCGCAGGAGAAGCCCCGACTGGCCAAGACACACGTATTGTAGTCGAAACGCTCAGGCTGGCTGGCACGCCGCTGGGCCAAGAGGCCACACTGTACCACGGTGTCACCCTTGGATAGCTCCAGCAGGGGGTGGGCTGTGGCAGGGTCCAGCCTGAGACACTCCAGGGCTAGAAAGGGCAGTGACCCACATGTGATTAAGCCACACAGAAAACACCAGACCCCACCCTGCCCCAGGAGGGGGACAGAGGGCCCTGAGGTGCTCAAACAGAGGAGGCATGCCAGTCAAGCTGTGTGACCTAGGGTCTAGAAGGGGCAGACAGGGCTGCCTGCCAGTGGTGGATGGATGAGTGGTGGATGGTTGATGGATGGATGGATAGGTGGATGGATGATGGATTCTGGGTGCTGGTGGCTCACACCTATAATCCTAGATGCTTGGGAGGCTGAGATGTTAAGATTGAAGTTCAAAGCCAGACTGAGCAGGAGAGTCCATGAGACTTATCTCCAATTACACACATACACACACACACACACAAAGCCAGAAGTGGAACTGTGGCTCAAATGGTAGGGTGCTAGCTTTGAATAAAAAAGCTCAGCTCACACCTGTAATCCTAGCTACTCAGGAAGCTGAGATCTGAGGATCGGGGTTCAAAGCCAGCCTGGGCAGGAATGTCCATGAGACTCTTATCTCCAAGTAACCACTAGAAAACCGGAAGTGGCGCTGTGGCTCAAGCGGTAAAACGCTCGCCTTGAGCTGAAGAGCTGAAGTACAGCTCCCAGGCCCAGAGTTCAAGCCCCATGACCAACAACAACAACAACAAAAAAGAATAAAAAAGCTAAGGTCTGGGAATGTGCAGTAGTATAGTAACAGAGTGTTTGCCTAGCATGCATGAAGCACTGGGTTCAATTCCTCAGTACCACATAAACAGAAAAGGCCAAAGTGGTTCTGTGGCTCCAGTGGTAGAGTGCTAGCCTTGAGCAAAAGAAGCTCAGGAATAATGCCTAAGCCCTGAGTTCAAGCCCCAGGACTGGCAAAAGAAAAAAAAAAGCTTAGGGCCGGGCGCCGGTGGCTCATGCCTGTATCCTAGCTACTCAGGAGGCTGAGATCTGAGGACGAGGTTCAAAGCCAGCCCAGGCAGGAAAGACTGTGAGACTCCTATCTCTAATAAATTACCAGAAAGCCGGAAGTGGCGCTGTAGCTCGAGTGGAGAGCGCTCGCCTTGAACTGAAGAGCTGAGGGACAGTGCCCAGGCCCAGAGTTCAAGCCCCACGACCGACAAAAAAAAAAAAAAAAAAAGCTTAGGGACAGTGCCCAGGCCCTGAGTTCAAGCTCCAGGACCAGCACACACACGCGCGCACGCGCGCGCACCACACACACACACACACACAAACACAAAGATGGATAATGGAAAGATGGATGATTGGATATTGGATGATGGATGATTGGATGATGGACAGGTGGATAAATGGATGGATGGACACCCCTGAAGGATGTAACACCCCATTAGCTGAGGGACTCTAGTAAAGAGGAGCTGCAGGCCAGCCTACCTGCTGTAAGTAGAGGTGCTGATAGAATGACCTAGAAGACTGCCTAGTAGGCAAGCTCATAGCCCAACCCTCCAAGGCTTCCTGAGGATATCCTACAAAGGCAATTTGTTTTTCTTTTTGCTGTGGAGAATTGAATCCAGAACCTCCTATGTGCTAGGAAATCATTCACTGGACCACTGAGCTACATTTGTGGCCCTACAGGCAGACATCTATTTGGTTTGCTGGCCTCAGCTGCAGGCCTGAGGACAAGTTATTCCTGCTCACCGTGTTTTAGCTAACTAAAAACTAATTTGTTGTTTCCAAAAATGTGGGAAGGAGTTCTTCCCTCCTACCTCCTTCCCCCCAGCTCAAGCCCCTCTGGCTCTCCTGCCCTTCACTCTGATCTGGCTTTGGCCTTGGCAGATGAGATCAATCCACCAGCTGCCCACCCTCATGGACAAACATCATACTAGAATACAGGAACAAATGAAAGAGGTCTGGGCTCTTTTTCAGAGGGCAAGAGCTAACTAACTAACATGGATTAAACAGGAGACCACAACACTCGTGCATGTATGCAAACTGCAGCCCAGCCAGCTGGACTTCTTCCTCACAGCAGAGCTGGAAGCTCAAAGCTCCTCTTTTCACGCCTCATCATAGGCTGAACAGAGCTGCGCATGCTCACTGTGACCCATGTTCTCTGAAACCTAAAAGCCCTCTGGTGCCACAGCTGCTGGCCCTGGCTGCAGCCCTCAGGAAGGGGGTGGGGGGGCTCACCTGGCAGAACTTTCCGGAACAGCCTTTTCCACACAGTCAGCTTGATATCCGCCTGGTGGAGGGCTGGCTTAAAGGAGATGGGGCTGAATGCGCCTTCCCAGGGCCTGGCCTGCTGGAGCTCTGCTCTGCATGCAGTGAACATCGAGAAGAGTGCACCTTCCCTCAGTGGGAAGCCACTGAGGAAAGCCACCCATGGCTTGAGCTGCATGGCCAGGATGTCCCTCCTGGCCCTGTTTCCCTCCTACAAAGCGACCCACCATTGCGGTGGTATTAGGATTAACTTCATGATATCACCTGGGATCTTACTGCAAATGCAGATTCCTGGGCCCCCACCCTAGATCGACTAAACTGATTAATGGGCAAGGCAGCTAATCTGTATCTTGCCACCCTCCTGCTGGGTCTTAGGTACATTGAAGTCCAGTCCCTGTCAAACCACAGCTGAAGTGGATTCTCTGCCATTCTCCCTATTCCCCCCCCCCTTTTTTTAGCAGTATTGACCAGCAGGCATTTTACCACTAGAGCCCCTACTCCAGCTCTTTTGCTTTAGATTTTTTTTATTGCTTTTTTTTTTTTTTGGCTAGTCATGGAGCCAGAACTTTGGGCCCGGGTGCTGTCCCTCAGCTCTTCAGCTCAAGGCTAGCGCTCTACCACTTGAGCCACAGCATTACTTCCTGCTTTTTCTGCTTATGTGGTGCTGAGGAATCAAACCCAGGGCCTCATGCATGAAAGGCAAACGCTCTACCACTGAGCCACCTTCCCAGTCCCTTGCTTTAGTTTTTGTTTCAGATATGGCTTCACACTTTAGTCTAGAGAGGACCTTGGATTACGATCCTCCTACCTCCACCCTTACATAGCTGGGTTTACAGGTATAGGTCGCCATGTTCATCCATCCCTCTTTACATTCATTGAAGCTAAGCCTCCCATGACTAAAGGAGAGCTAAGGAAACTGGACCTCCTTAAACAGAGGCATGTTTCTTCAGAACTATGGGGTTTATGGGGACTAAGCATGGAGTTACTCTCCCCAGCCAACCTAAGGACCCTAAATAGGCCAGGATCTGCCTTTCCCTACAACTGCCCTTCCTCGTGGTGGACCATACAACCCCCCACCCCAGAATACTGGACTCACAGCACCCCAGTCTGCACAGCATGCATGGTACTCTGTCTCTCAGGACTGCCGCCCACCTGCCTGCCTGGCACACCTGGTACATCCGCCTCCACCGGCCCTCCTCCAATCACTCATTCCATCAATGAGGGACCATCTGTCGTCCTAGGTCCCCATGGCAATGGAGCTAGTTTGCCTCCCTACCCTCTGCTCTGCGAGACCCCTGAGGGCAGAGACACGGTCCCAACTGCCTGTCCTGGGTGACTTGCTCTGGGGCACTGGTTAAACCCAAGGTAGAGCCAGAGATGAGGAGGCCGCACCCCGCCGGTCCCCAGCAGCGGTGGGAGCTTGTTACCTGGAGGCCAAACGGTGGTATTTCTGGAAGACAAGAGAGGGTCAAAGCTACACCTAAGACTGGTGTTTCCACCCCCCGAAGCCACGCCCACTCCCCTGGCACTCACCCGAATGAACTCGAGCTGGCTTGCCCCTCCCAGCTGCTCCTGCACACGCGCAGCCTGGGCCAGCCGTTCGCGAGCACCCTGGGCCTGGGCTAGCTGCAGGCCCAAGGAGGCCAGCAGGCCTCGAGTGTGGCCCTGGATGCCCTCCAGGCAGCGGGCCTTCTCCTCGTCTACCAGGCGGTGCAGCTCCTGGAACTCTCGACGGATCACCCAGCTGAACACATCTGACTCGTTCTAGGAGACAGAGAGCGGGTCAAGGCACAGACACACCCTGGCTTTGCCCGGCCCCTTCAGCCTCCCGGCCCAGCGCCTTCATGACAAGGGCTGTGGGTCTTTCTCTTGTTGGTAGTACTGGGGTTTGAACTCAGGGCCTCCTGTATATGCTCTGATACTTGAGCTAAATGTTAGGGCTTCACTTTTTAGCCAGGCTGGCCTGGGCTGAGATCCTGTTTACACCTCCACACCAGCACGTTTTACCAGGTCCAGCTTGTCTGCAGAGATGGGAGTCTCAATTCACTTTTTGTTTGGGTTAGGTGCAAACTGTGATCCTCCTAATCTCTGCCTCCTCAGTTGCTGGGATTGCAGATGTAAGAAAGACATCATACTTGTCTCCCAGCTCCCATTTCAGACATTCTTTTTTTTTTTTTTTTTTTGGGTCCAGTCGTGGGGCCTGAACTCTGGGCCTGGGCGCTGTCCCTCAGCTCTTCAGCTCAAGACTAGCGCTCTACCACTTGAGCCACAGCGCCACTTCCGGCTTTTTTCTTTTTGCTTATGTGGTACTGAGGAATCGAGCCCAGGGCCTCAGGCATGCAAGGCAACCGCTCTACCACTGAGCCACCTTCCCAGCCTCAGACATTCTTTTGCGCTCCTCCCCCCTTTTTTTTCCAGTGCTGAGAATGCACCCAGATTGTTGGGCATGCTGAAATACATCCCTACCTCCTTTTGCCTCTTTTTTTTTCTTTTTTTCAATGTGTACCAGTATTATGGTTTGAAACTCAGAGCTCCAGGCTCTCACTTGGGTTTTTCACTCCAAGCTAGTGCTCTATCACTTGAGCCAATTCCAGTTTGTTTTGTTTTGAGTCAGTTGGGGGTAAGAGTCTGATGGACTTTCCTGCTCATGCTGGCTTCAAACCAGGATCCTCAGGTTTCAACCTCCTGAGTTGCTGGGATTACAGGTGTGAGCAACAATGTCCAGCTGCTTTTGCCTCTTTTAACTCCTACATAGGGACATATGACTTCATTTGTATCCCTAAGGCCAACTGAAAAAAAAAATGTCTGCAAGACTGTAGGAGAGTGGGTTTGGGAGGAGGGAGAGAGTCCAGGACTCCCAGCAGGACCCAATTCCTGCAGCCATGAGAGAGGGCAAAGGTCACCTTTCCTGGGTAAGGAGAGCTGACCCTGCATACACTGTCCTGGAGCCTAGAAGGCTTCCTCTCCAGGCCTCCGCTCACTGTACTGGGAAGCCCCAGACCTCACAAGATCACACAGATACTTGAGGCACTGGGGGGAAGGAGGAGGGACAGGGTGGGGAGGTAGAATCATGTCTGTCATGTTTCAGGTTGGCTGTTTATCTCTGGGCCTCAAATCCTGGGTTATCTCAGTCCCCCAAGGACACCCAGGACTTAGGGTGGAGCCAGCCCTGACCACCAGGCTGAATTCTCTGGGAGGACAGCCCTTTCTCCACCTGCCCTGACACGCTTTAGACTTGGCTTGGTCTAAGGCATGGTTTTCTCTGAAGGACAAGAGAAAGCTTGGCTTGCTGGGGTGGAGGAGGGCGGAGGGGGGTGGAGGGTGGCTCAGTGGTAGAGCACAGTCCATGCTTAGCATGCACCAGGAATGCCTTGATAAGAAATCAACCATCAAAACTCAGCATGTGGGTTGGGAAAGTGGCTCAGTGGTAGAGCGCTTGCCTTGTATGCTCGAGGCCCTGGGTTCGATTCCTCAGCACCACATAAGCAAAAAGAAAAAAACCGGAAGTGGTGCTGTGGCTCAAGTGGTAGAGTGCTAGCCTTGAGCTGAAGAGCTGAGGGACAGCACCCAGGCCCAGAGTTCAGGCCCCATGACTGGACCCAAAAAAAAAAAAACAACTCAGCATGTTTGGGCTTGGGGCAGGACTTAGTGGTAGGGTGTTTACCTAGCATACATGAGGCCCTGGTTTCCATTCTCAGCATTGAAAAAATGTACATATAAAATAATGAAAAGTAGCCCAGCACTCGTGGCTCTTGCCTGTAATTCTAGCTACTCAGGAGGCTGAGATCCGAGGATCATAGTTTGAAGTCAGTTCAGGAAGGGAAGTCTGCGGGACTCATCTCTCCAAAAAACTACTCAGAACAGCTGGAAGTGGCACTGTGGCTCAATGGATAGAGTGCTGGCATTGAGCAAAAGAAGCTCAGTGACAGTGCCTAGAACTGGCACAAAAAGGAAAGAAAAGCTGGGCACTGGTGGCTCAAGCCTGTAATCCTAGCTACTCTGGAGGCTGAGATCTGAGAGTTGCAGTTCAAAGCCAGCCTGAGCAGGAAAGTCCATGAGACCCTTATCTTCAATTAACCACCAAAAAAACCAGAAGTGGCACTGTGGCTCAAATGGTAGAGCGCTAGCCTTGAGCTGAAGAGATGAGGGTCAGCGCCCAGGCCCAGAGTTCAAGCCCCACGACCAACCAAAAAAAAAAAGGAAACAAAATGGTAATAATGAAAAGGAAAAGCGAGAGGGTCAGGAAGCCCCAGGCACTCACAACAATGCGTGTCCTGTTGTTCTCCAGTTTGGCGATGTGCTCATCCACCTCCTTCTGCTCCTGCTTCAGGTCAGAGAGGAAGGCCGCAAGCTCCTCCTGGGTCAACACCCTCCCATGAGCAGTTGCCCTCAGCCTCTGCCCCCACACTGCACTGGGCCTCTGTCCCACCAGCCACATGCAGTGGACCAGATGCCTGTGACCACTAAACAGGCCATGAGGATTCAAGAATATTTCACACTGATGGCAGTGTGAAATGGCAGGATGAGGGTCCTGACATCTTTACCCCTCTCCAGGACATGCAAAGCAGGGCTAGAGCTCCACAGACATCACCTCCTGACATCTGCATGTCCAGACTGCAACCGGAAGTCAAAGCTTCGTCTTCTTCTTCTTTTTTTTTTTTTTGTCCGTCCTGGGACCTGGACTCTGGGCCTGGGCGCTGTCCCTCAGCTCTTCAGCTCAAGGCTAGTGCTCTACCACTTGAGCTACAGTGCCACTTCCAGCTTTTTTTCTGTTTATGTGGTGCCGAGGAATAGAATCCAGGGCCTCATGCATACAAGGCAAGCACTCTACCACTGAGCCACCTTCCCAGTCCCAAGCCAATGCTTCTTGTACTGAATGCCACCAGGGAGCCTTTGATTTTTCACTAAGTCCCAAATTAGTGTTTAATCAAGTCATTACAAACACGGTGCTGGCAGCTTATCTGTATAATTCTAGGTACTGAGAAGACTGAGATCTGGAGGATTGCTGTTCAAGGCCAGCCCAGCTAGATAAATAACCATCAAAAAGTTGGGTTGGAAAGGATACTCATTAGGGAGGAATACCAAAGCACAATGCATCTGACCATATAAAATAATATTTATCAAAAATGAATTCCAGGAAATGAAAATGAGATTTTTTTTCTTTTTTGTTGTTTTTTTTCCTTTTTTTGTCCTGTGTGTTTATCTGTCTTTGGGGGGGTAAAGGAAGCACAGAAATGGAGGGACAAAGGGTGAACAAATACAACAGTGGTACTCACTAGACACTATGTGAAAAATGAACTATATACCTTGTGGGTGAGGATTAAGGGAAAAATTAGGGGAGGGGGAAAGAGAAAGGGTTACACTGTCCAAAAAGAAATGTACTTTTTACCTGACTTATGCAACTGTAACCTCTCTGTATATCATCTTTATAATAACAATATTTTTTTAATTTGGGTTCAAATCAGATGTTGGTAGCTCACACTCATAATCTTAGCTACTCAGGAAACTGAGATCTGAGGATCAATGTTTGAAGCCAGCCTGGGCAGACAACTCTAAGAGACTTTTATAGCCAATTAACCTGCAATAAGCTAGAACTGGAGGTGTGGCTCAACTGGTTGAGCACTAGCCATGAGAGAAAAGAACCAAGGAAGAGTGAGAAGCCTTAAGTTCCCAGTACTGGGGGAAAAAAAAGAAAATTATGACAATGAGCTCTAATTCTGCATACAGTAGACTAGGTTGAACCCAGTGTCCCCCCCAAAAGAAAGAACCCAGTGTTCATCCCAAGCAGCCTTGGATCCAGCCAGCTTTCAATTTAGCAGCCTTCCCTGACTACCTGAGCCAGGACAGGATCCATGTTCTAAACCATCTCTCCATTACCAGCACTGAACCTTGACAGCAGTCCCTGCTACTTCTCCTTAGAGCCCATATGGTGCCCTCCCCAGGCACAGCCAGTGCCACTGGTGAAGCAGACCAGCTCTGGGCCTGGCACATATGAGGAGTATGGGGACAGTTCTGTGCATATTCCCTACTTGTCTCCCAAGGAGGAAATGTTGTCCAGAGTGGCCAGCCAGCAGATGACAGGATCGGCCTTTCCTATACGACCACCCCCTCACCTGATTTCTGCCATTCCTCACTTTCATAACCACTATGCAAGTAAGTATCCTCCTCCCTGCCCTTCCTTGACCTGTGGCTAGAGATGACAGGCTACTTGGGCTACAGCCTGAAGCTCAGTGGTAGACACTTGACTAGCACCCAGGAAAGCCTTGTGTCCAGCTGTCAGTCCTTCCCTTCTCAGAGAATGGGTTTCCACATTTGCAAAACACAACAGAACATTTCTATAAAGCAAGTGGAATTGTGTAGATGAAGCTGCTTCCCAGAACCCAACATAGTAACCAAAGACTGCTGCAAACATAGTAACTAAAGACTGCTGCCATGATTCATCCCCAGTGACCATCTGCTGCTCCCAGCTGTGCTCCTTCGAGCCAGGAATTTGTCGATTCAACGAATGCATTCACGGCTTTTGCATACACACCACAGAACACACCAAATCCTCTACTTGAGCTCCTGCATGCCAGGAAACAAACCAGGTTGCTCAAACCAGGGATTCAAAGTAACAGTGGAAGAACGGGATGCAAGAGACGTGCACATCACTGCAATCCCCCGAGCGACTGCTCAAAACGATGAATGAGTGAATGAATGATGAATGAATAAGGAATAAATAAAGGCATGCATACATGCGTGCTGCAAGAGAGAGCTGGAAGGAAATTGAGACCTGGTTGTGGGACCCCTGCGTACCAGGTGGTGGCGCCCGAGAACGCAGCAGCGGCCCCAAAGCTGGAACCCCGCCCCTCCCACCACACCCCCGCCTTTCCAGACACGCCCCTGCGCCAGTCCGCTTTCCCGCCCCTCGGTGCCAGGGCCCCAACCGCCCCCACCCCACCCCAGCCCGGCACCTTCATGCGGCTGTAGACCGTGGAGACCGGGGTGACCGGGTGGTGCTGGTGGGAGCCCAACAGGCCGCAGAGCCCACAGATGAGCTCCTGGTCCTTCTCGCAGAAGAGGCTGAGGGGGTTTCGGTGGTGCGCGCAGACCGTGGGCTCCGGGTCCCCCGGCAGCCGCAGGGCTTCGATCACCCGGGCCAGGGACACGTTGGGCGGGGAGCTGCTGCCGTCCACCGCGCGGCGGCACACGGGGCAGCGCAGCTCCGAGGCCAGGTGGCAGGACAGGGACAGCAGGCAGGCCTTGCAGTAGGAGTGGCCGCACGGCAGCACCAGGGGCTCTTTGAAGACCTCCAGGCAGATGGGACACTGGAGCTGGTCGTGCAGCCCGGGCGGGCTCACCTGCCAGGCCATGCCTGCAGCCCGCTGCAACACAGATGCCCGTGTCAATCCCGCCTCCCACCGGCCCACCACTCCCAACAGAGAGGGCAGGAGGGCGCCCCCCCTTCCAGTCTCACTCACTAAGACTCTGGCCTTCGTTTCCCTATTTGTAAAACACTTGAGTGAAAAACTGATCTCAGCACCTAGGCGAGTTCAAACCCCAGGACTTCCACAAACATTAAATAAGTAAATAAATAATAGGAAAACTGATCGCTCCAGAGCTGGGGATGTGGGTCCGTTGTAAAAGTACTTTTCTAGTATGTATATGGCCCTGTAATGCAAAAAGCAAGCAAATAAGCTGTATGGCTCACCTTTATATATGTGTATATGTGTGTAGTGGTGTGGGTCTCTAACTCAAGTTTCATGCTCTTGCCTGGCATTTTCCACTCAAGGCTGATGTGCTAACACTTGAGCCATCTAGCTCTTTGCTAGTTAATTGAAGACAAAAAGTCTCATGGACTTTTCTTTTGTTTTTTGTTTTTTTGCGTCCGGTCGTGGGGCCTCAACTCTGGGCCTGGGTGCTGTCCCTCAGCTCTTCAGCTCAAGGCTAGCGCTCTACCACTTGAGCCACAGCGCCACTTCC